TGTTTTGTGTGGCGCATATATATTTGGTGCCCTCTTGTACCAATATTCATGTATTCAAATAAATAAATACGTGCAATAGCCGCCACAGATTTTAGAACCTTATGGTCAATACATAGGACCTTTAGGCATGTCGGCGCTAAAAGGTTTTTGACTTTGTATACAGTGTTTGTACGTCTTAAACTTGAGTACTGTATACAAGCGGCTAGTCCCTGCTTAAAAAAGGCAGTGAGCTTTGGGAAAAGGTTCAGAGCACAACAACTAAGTTGATTCCCGGAATCGCGAAGCTTCCGCATGATGCTCGACTGGTCAAGCTAAACCTATTGCCGTTGTCATATCGTAGAACTAGATGCCACTTGATTACAGTTTTCAATTTGCTTAGTAATAAATTTACACCTGATATGCCCTCATTTTTCTTGTCTTCCAAAACAGAGTATTTACGAGGACACTCCTAAAAAGTTCACAAGACCAGAACAAATATCAGCTGACTATCGACTTCCCCATCGAATCATCAACGAGTAGAACTCATTACCTCAGCACGTGGTTGAGGCTCCATCCGTCGATTCTTTCAAAAGAAAGTTGGATCAACTGCAGTCTTGCTGAGTAATATCATTGTCCTAATGACAGGTCTGCAGAGCAAGTTGTCGGCAAACTTGGTAAAAGACAGTCAAAAAATGGGTAGAAAAACAAGAGAGCGCATTAAAAACGAGAACAGGGATGTCGACAGGTCTACCAACGACAGAGTATGTAACAGCATTAATGATGACACGCTGAAATCCAGCACCATGATTACGACGACAGTACTGGACTCCATCAGCAAACTCGGGTCTCACAGCTCAAGGTCTTTGAACATGACAGTGGTTCCCAGAAACTCTGTAGGTGATTGGACCCATGTCAAAAGAGCTAAACAGGGACAGGAGTCATAGTCTAAGTTGAGCGTCCCAGCTGTTGAACGGAGGTCAAGTGGTGATCTGGTCGCACAGTCTACCCCCAAGATTGTTTGTCCGGTCATCAAAGAGCCAAGGATTCATAAACGTGCTTCGGCCCCAAACAACAAGGTGCTAAACCTGAACACACCGGAAAACCTGGGACGACAATAACGGCTCGTGATGACTCTCTCATAGTCATGAATTTCAAAGACAACCCTGACTTTCCTCTCAGTTTCCAGGACAAAAATGATAGGATGCTCTGGGGAGAATTGAACAAGAAACTTGGACTTCCAAGAACAGAGCCGTTGACAGTCACACGGCTCACTCGAGGAAAGGAATCTAAGCATCTAAATCGCCCGAGGCTACTTCGTGTAACACTTAAGAATGCTACCGACGTAGAGGATGTCTTTCTAGCGAGTCATTTACTGAAGTCAGATGGGAATGTAAGAATACTGCCTGATATACCGTATTCTGAGCACAATCTCACCCGGAAAATCCCCAAATAATCTCGCGATCAGTTTTTCCGCGGGAGGAATATAATCATGCAAGGTATACCGGAAAATACGGACCCTACTCAATCAAAGACTGACATCAGGGAATGGAAATTCATCAAAACAGTCCTTGAGGCTCAAAAGCATACTGACTCAGTGTTATGACTTTAAGTTGAGGTCGATTTTTACCCTGTGCTAATTGTTGTGTCCTTGACTGGAAAATTAGAGAGCAGCGTACTTATCGATCGATCCAATGGCACGTAAACACGTACGGACGGCCTAGAGTCTCGATTGGTCTCGCTTCCTGTCTAGCCAGTCAGTTGAGTCCAGAACACAAGTCACAGCCTCGGAGATATGAATCATTGTATTTCAGACATGCTCTATTTATATACCAAACAAGCAAACCACATCGTACCACAAAAATAGTAAACAACATTTACACAATATGTAACGAATGGATTAAATAATAGCCAATAGGGAATGTACATTTAAAGTCCAAGGCCACCATAGACTTAACATGACAATGATTGGCATATTATTCGGTATCCACAACACTCAGCATGTGACGAGACTATTCAAGAAGGATGGTGATCCTAGACCCCGTCTGATGAAGATAACCTTCCCGTCTTCACATATGGCGGCTGCAACTCTGGAAGCATTTCGTGCCAACAGACGTCGACTGCCACCTGGAATCCACATGCACCCGGATAGGCCATACGACGCTAAGACCAAACAAAAAGGCAAGTTGGAGCTGACCATTCCACTTGTGAACTGTCTAGACAATAGAAAAAACGTGTAAAGGACAGGGCCTACCACCTCGGCAAACCTCATATAGGTGGGCTACCTGTCCATTCACGTAAGGCTCATACAGACAAACAGGAAGAAGCTCACGCGTTCCAAATTGAAAGCATAAACTGCTTATATATGAACGCCGCGAGTCTACCAAACAAATTGGATGGATTACGTGAACTTAGCAACGCTAATAAGGCCCATCTGATAGGAATATCTGAAACCTGGATATCTTCTCAGTTCTCGGACCAAGAGTTAGCATTACCTGAGATGACTTTGTTCCGCAATGACAGGAAATCAGGATATGGGGGCGGAGTAGCTGTTTACATACGTTCTTGCTTGGAGGTGCATCAAGTTCATAACCTCGAGTTCAACAATCTTGAGGAATCCATATGGTGCTCTGTAAGATTGTCTAGTACTTCGGGGTGTCTAGTCGGAGTCATTTACAGGAAGCCAACTGCCGACATCGAGTACGATAGTCGTATGCTGGAAGGACTATCCCGCTCTACTCGTCTCGGTTTCACACACATCCTGATTCTAGGGGACTTTAACCTCCCTAGAGTCAACTTGGCGGATCACACGTTTACTGGAGGCGACAACTCAATTGAAGCTCGGTTCTTCAACCTTATCGATGACTTCGGATTATACGAAAATATGGGGTCGGCAACTCATTGGAGAAACAGTCAGACACCATCGCGCTTAGACTGTGTATTCACAAACGAAGAATTCCTAGTTGACAACCGCTCAATCCTGGCTCCCCTGGGAAAAAGCGATCATGCCTTCATAGCCTTCAGTTTTGTCAGCAAAACTAAGCTAAGATACCCCACCCACAACTTGCGTTGGAATTCTAAACGGTTGCATGTGCTAGCTCTACACGACTATCTACAACGGGTGGTTTGGGATGTTCACCCCCCCAGCTCGATGTGGACGGTCATTGGGACTTCTTACTGCACACTGTAAGTCTTAACAGCCCGACCAACAACGATGGTGACGCCGCTAACCTCCTGGCTGAACATTACCCCAGACATTCCAACCGACCGACATTAACTTTACTGATGACAGTTTCGTTCGCAATTCCACAGGACTTTCCGAAGTGAAACTAAGCGCTGACCTGGTGTTCCAGAAACTGCAGCACTTAAGATTAGAAACTTCTCCTGGCCCGGACATGGTCCATTCCGCCATATTGAGAGAAGCAGCCTCAATCTTGGCAACGCCGCTTAGCGTGATGTTCTCACAGTTGCTAAGTCGAGGAAAACTACCAGAAAATTGGAGGCTGGCTCACATCAAACCAATTTTCAAAGGAGGTCGACGCAGTGAACCTTCAAGTTACCAACCGGTGGCTCTTCTCTCCATACCCTCAAAAATCATGGAGTCTCTGATACGCGATGGTATAAATGATTATTTACTGTCCTTAAATTTCTTCTCACCCCAACAGCATGGTTTCAGGAAGGGTTACTCTTGTATTACCAACCTGCTGACTGCGGCGGACAGATGGATAAGCATCCTTGATCACAAGGGAAAGTTGATATCATCTACCTAGATTTCTCAAAAGCTTTTGATAAGGTTAACCGTACATGTCTTATCAATAAGCTCAAACGATTGGGTATCAGACCACCTCTAATCGATTGGCTCGCTTCATACCTGAAAAATCGACATTTTAAAGTCAGGGTTAATTTCACTTTATCTCAGGCTATGGAATGTCCTAGTGGGGTCCCCCAGGGCTCAGTACTAGGACCTCTTCTCTTATTGATCTACATAAATGATCTTCCTCAACAGGCAACGTCAGACTTATTACTTTTTGCCGACGACGTGAAACTTTGGAGAGAGATACGCAACCAAGACGATGTACAGACACTTCAGAAGGATCTGACTCGGCTTCAAAGTTGGGCAGACGATAACGGACTTTAACACTTCAAAGTGTAAAGTAGTCCATCTGCGACATGTCGCAAACTACAGTTATAACTTTGGTAACTCCTCTCTAGTAGTATCCCAAGTCGAAAAATATTTAGGAGTCTTGGTGCCCTACGATTTAAAGTCTTACGCTAACTGTGACAAGAATACCTTCCGAGCAAACCTTGCATCGGTAACATTGAAGTGCATTTTTGGCCAGTTTGACGGAAGAGCTTTCCATATAATCTTCAATAGTTTTATCCGTCCCCATTTAGAGTACGGAAACATAGTATTTGCTCCCTCACTCCAAAAGGATAAGGACACTCTGGAGCGTATACAACGGCGAGCCACGAAATCAGTTCGAGGACTCAAATTTAAACCTTACGAAGAGCGCTTCCATTCACTCAACCTTTACTCATTAGAGCATGGACGTCTTAGAGCTGACCTTCTGATGGCTTATAGTATCCTTGACACTTCTGGACATCCTCTCAAACACCTACTTAAGCTTAGTTCCAACACTAACCTAAGAGGCAACACCCAGCAACTGGAGACACAACATAGCAGAACGGACTGTACACACAACTTCTACTCCTTAAGAGTTGTCAAATGCTGGAATTCGCTGCCGGCCGAGCTAGTCCAAGCGACATAACAGGAGTCCTTTAAGAGGTAACTTGATCTATTCTTAAGGACTAAGGATAGTATCACACTATCATTTGCCAATTTCTTTTCCTCTTTTATTGTTAACATACCTAGGTTCCTGCCTGGAGAAGTTGGTGATCCCCTGCTACTAGACACGGAAGCCTGTTAAGCGAAAGCTTCTTCTATTCCGTCCACAACCATCTGAACCATTTGAACAGTGCCTATTGAACAGCGGCAGCTTTAAGGTGTGCGTTACTACACAGGCATGAGAATATACAGGTGTTGGTTTTGTTCGAGTCCAATATACCCTGGTCACGGGATTCTATTTGTAAGAAATGACTGTAAAGTAAGGTTCAAATTTTTTTGTCTTTGTGAATCAGTTTTTGCGATCAAGCTGCTTGTTATATCTCAATGAATGTATATGGCTAAAACGAGCTGTCAGCAAACATTTAGCAACGTTATATGGGAGATAAATAATCCTCTTTGCAGGCTCTTCAGTAAGAAGCGTTAGTTTTTGTGTCGAATTCAGTGGGATTCAGCAACCTAATCGCTCTGAAGAAGTAGCTTGCACCAAGTCACTAAACAACAGTTATAATTTTTGTTCGTCGGGTCACCGCAAATTTATCATTTTTTCATCTGTTGTTAGTGAAATAAGTTAGGCGCTTGATCACAATCAAGTGAGGTGGAAAATGATATACGTTCAATAAGCTGTGCATGTCAAATTATATCAATGATATTTGTAAATTGGTGTTAGTGAGGATTCAAGGTGATTTATTGTAAGGTACAAACAGAGGAATTTTACTATTATATTAGGGCTACCATTAAGTTCGTACTTACCTATAACTCGACCAATTTAATAAAGTACCTATTTATGTCCATATAAACATAATAGCAACTGTTGAGAGTTGCAGTTAAACTAAAATGTAACCAAGGATTGTCTTCCTTGTAATTAGACAAAGACCCTTAAAAGGATTATTAATCTGAACTCAATTTTTAGATCTATTTAGACCTGTGATTTATACCGATTCAAATGAACTAAATGTTTTTGCTTGTCAAACATAAATCTACATATTATCTCAATTGTAATCAATCGTAGTTCAACTTGTATGAATACTCGATAACCGCATTTTACTTAATTTATAGGAATTTCATCCTGTTTGTTTAATCGGTTCTACCTGCTTATCTACATAATATAGAACGACTTGTTATCACGGACGTTGATAATCTATAGAATAAAAGTTTAGTTTTACTGAAAAGCACAAAAGACAATGCCTTTATGAGTACGTCTAATGACAAATGAATTATGTGACCTTTCCCATTATAAAATAAAGTATGTTGTCAGCATTAAAGACTCATCCAACGTGAAATTCACCAACCATTCCTGTCATTTTTGAAACAAACCAAGTTATGGCCCTGCTGGTGGATTTAGAGTCATTAATTTTCGATTTCTTTGGTATATGTTTTAAAATTCTTTTGGATAACATTCTGTATGTTCCACGAAGATAAATTCTAGTGCAGGAATGGGTAAACGCAACTATTTAACCAGATTCGGTCTTTTATCTAATTTAGTTTCTTCGAATAGCTCTTGTTTCATAGTTGATAATTAACTCCAGAGTAGGAAAGTTCATTATTATAATGGTTTTTAGTTTACACTTATTTTGCACACCGAAATAATCTCGTTTGACTAAAAGTTTGTAAGATGCATTATTTTTAGGGGAACAAGTGGCATGTGAACCAATTATTGGTCACCGGCTACCATGAGACTGCATCTCCTTACGTTGCTCCACTGTCTTGTAGATCAGACCTTTAGACAGAAGGCTCTGGATGTAGCCCACTAAGAAAACCACCTGCTTTGGTATGGGCACCCGGGAAGTATTACAGCCCACACACGAATCAAGTAACTTTTGTTGCGCATATGTATTTGGTGCCCTTTTGTACCAATATTTATGTGTTAAAATATATAACATTTAGAACAAATGTTGATCTTAGTACTTTTAATATGGGTGTATTACAGACAAAAAATACGATTTTTCAAGGATAAAACATAACGATGCAATTTTTGTATTGTTAAACGTCGGGACAATCGTGTATTTGGTAGTTCGAATTTTCCATTTTAATATGGAATGATCCATCGAGTATATGCATATTTTAGACGATTTTTCAGATATTCTACGATTATTTCCAAATTGATGTCACTATTATTCTATTCCTAATAAAATGCTGTTATTAACGTTTAATAGCTTTCGTAATTATGAATGTTAGCATGAAAATATATTAGAAATGGTTAACATAATTCAAACAGTCTGTATGATCAAATAATTCGTACTTACTGATAGATATAGGCTAATTCCTTAGAATAGGCATGTTTAGAATTCATCGAAATGATATCCAACACCGAAAAGTTACCTTTATCTAGACCTCACTTCCGTAGAACTTCATATTAATTATCAAGCAGGTTGACTAAGTTCTCAGCCTCCCTGTTCCAAACAGATGTATGAATGGGTTAATAAGAGTATCACACAAATGGATTAAAAAATTACCGTGCTTGCTGAAGGTAGACTGTTCGTTGAGTCTACATTTTTAAGTGGTCGTAGAGGCGGTGAAATAATAACTCGAGCCAATTTCACACTCGTAAAAATTTTGTTCTTAATTTTATTGCTCACCCTTGTTGGTGTACGCCTATTTTGATCGTACCCTTTTCCACTCGTCTTTTTGCTTGGACGCTTATGAGTAAATACAGATTCTCTATATTCATTACCTTAAGCCTCGATAGGTTATTGTAAGACATATTTATACACTGTTGTACATGTTCTGAAGTCTTTGTCTTATCTAAGAGAAATGACAAATGAAGGTTTGTTTTTATCATAAGTACAAGTTTAATAACACCTAGTGATTGATGAAATGTGGAATAAGTTTCCAACAAAAAATTTGAGACAGATCATAATATAAACTAATTAGAAACGAAGATATAATGTTTCTCAGTCACATTAAAATAATATTTTACAATTATATTGTGGACAGAGACAAGGCAATGATGAGACACCTTAATTTATAGTGATTAACCAAATTACCCTTCCAAGTAGTTTAACAAATAAATTTGAGGTCTCTCGTCATAACAAATACTTTTCAGTTATATATACATAAATTGCTCTAAAGGACCTGAATTCCAAATCTATTTAATATGAATGACCTCTTAACCCCTTTAGTATAAATCAGGTTTTCGGAGTTATTTTGGTTTCCATACATTAGCATTTAACTTTCGTATTACTTGCTCATCATTCATCTAGGAATTCCGTTTCTGTAGAGGAAAGTGTCATAAAGCGTTTAAAAAGCATAAAAATCCTCGCAAAGTAAGATGGACTAAAGTTTCCAGAAGAGTTCGCGGGAAAGAACTAACTGATGACCTTTCCCAAACATTTGAGAGGAAGCGAAATTCATTACTGAAGTATGAACGAGCAGCAGTTCAAAAAATCGGTACATATCATAAGCTAATTTGATAAAATCTTTTCCAGTTGATGCTGTTCCAAAAATTGATCAGATCAAGCATAAACGAGAATCCGCATTTATCAAAAAACGACTTTCGAAAGGAGTACAGTTGCGTAGAGAAGAAGATATTAAACTTGTTAACACACAAATGCATCTTATTGAAGCCCAGGAGGTAGATTTGGGAGTTTAATCAATAATGATCTAAAATCCTATTTTATAGCCAAAAGAAAACGTGAACTAATGGATATTGATTCTGAAACAGATTTGTCAGAAGAGGAAACAATGGACCTTTCATTTACTGAACTCGAGAAGGAGACAAGTAAAAGAAAAGCAGTTGATAAGTCAAAAACTCGTGTCAAGAAACAAAAAATCGCTTTGGAAGCTAGCTGATTGAAATATATTGATTTTGTACTTATTTGAATTACTATTATATCTTTCATCTTACTGAAGTATGAACTTCCCCGTTTCTAGCTTGTCACTTATGGGTGGTAAATGATAGTTTCTAAGAATTTCTTCATCACTCTTTCATCTGTCATCGTTCACTGAATATCAGTCTAAGTGATTTTGTTCAACGAAAATAGAAAGTCAAAATTTAGGATAGACAGTTCCTACTCCTTGTGTTTGTTCATCTTTGAATTCTCTCGGGATGTCGTAAGTACCAAGCTGTGCGCTGTTTACAGAATGAAAGACATTTGTTTAGAGGAATACATTAGGTTCTTATTTATGGTTCTGTAAGTACCACTGGCTTTTGATAACTGGTATTTGCTGTGCCTATGTTTACTGCTAAAAGAAGCACAGAGCAAGTTTGTCTCAACACTGAAATTCCAACTTTAATTGGTTGTTGTAGATAGTTATCATTTGGCCTGATAGTGTACAGTGGTGTCCGTGGAATATATAAATATTCATTTTCGTTCTATTCCACTACAGAGATGCTGTTTAAAGTATTTATCTCTACCCTTTGTTCCTCAGTGATTCCTTTTTTAATCCGATAACTTTCTAATTAAAGAAATTGATATTAAATCACGAATCAATCTAAGTTATACCACCCTTGAAAACCTGAAAGTAATGGGAGGCCGTTTAGTCTTAGTATGGCACTCATCAACACTGATCCATGATCTTGTGCACGAGACTCAAAATTGGGACGTCCGGTCTTGCGTGTGGACTCTTGAGCTCAAGACCGTTGAACCGGCATCCAACGGTGTAAATGCCTAACTCCAATCAATCCATGGTTTTGTGCAGTCCTTCATCGATCGCCTGATGTGGATACGGTGGACATGGGTTGAACTCCATCGGTCACGGCATCTCACTAGGACTCCAGAAGTTTCATCTCGAAGCTAGTCACTAGTGAGCACAAATTCTCCATATTAATATCAAATCTCTCTTAAGAAAATATCCTTCTTGGTATCCAAGAATTACCCTACATTATGTGTTGGAAACTCTAACATATCTAAATAATTCTAGTCTTTACAGTTAATTGCTTGCCAAAATCTTTTGACTTATGCAACACAATGCCAATATTCAACAACTACAGATACCACTTGATAATAGGTAGGTATAAATGAGAAATGAAAATTCTTTTTTGATATGTCGTGTATCTCATAGTCCTGTTTTATATCTACCCCGACCGCTGTTGCTACCTCGACGTGGTGGTCGGGCATGCCTATCGTGATGAAGCAACCGAGCTATACTGGCTGGAACAACCGTTCCTCAAGGTCCTACCATGTCAGACAGGTTGATTGAAGGGCGGTAAGACTAAAAGCAACAAACCTAAGGTCCGAAGGCGAAGTCGTACTGCTGACTGTACAGACGTGTAACAGCAGTAAGGTGTTTCCTTCAGACAACCAGCGTGACAGCGATGCTGCCTTCCCACAAGGAGGGGTGGGGTTAGAAAAGGTCGACCCTAAAAATGCAAACCTCATCCCACGGATATCCGTCTTCGGTGGTAAGGTATCAACAGTACGGAGCTAACAAAAAATTACCCATAAAAAGGTCGTGTGTGACCGACCTCAAACAGTCGTCTCTTGGGTACTGCGGTCACGCTCCCAGGTCACTAAGACCACCTCTAATCCAATTTCCTTTTCAGGTACCTCCAGAAGAACCCTTCCACGGTGTGGGCAACCAGGAAGTGATAACCGCCCTCATACCTCTAACAACACTCAAGACCACTGTATTCATAATCAACCCCCGTCTTCACTTCCTATTATTCCTCCTACGTCGACTTTCACCTCTTAACTTCCTTTTTCGGCTTCCCCCTCAAGTGTCACCATAGCCAACGATTCTAGTGCTCAAAACACTGTTCCAGGTCTACTGAAACCTCGCTCCAAACTACACATTGGAGCCTTCAACGTACGCACCCTATGTCAAATCGGTCAACAGGTTTCATTGGCTAGAACCCTAGAATCTCGTACCATTGATGCATGCTGTGTTTCTGAAACACGCATACAGGATCCCAGTGTGGTCATTCACTTGACCTCACCTCGGCAAAACGGCGAGCCAACGAGATACACCCTTCGTGTATCTGGTGACCCGACGGCCAGCTCTCGTGAACTGGCAGGAGTAGGGAACAAGCACTGTTAGAGTGGATCCCTGTTAACAGTCGTTTATGCTGTTCGGCTAAACGGCTCCGTAAGGACTCGGAAGGATAGGGACACACGTCGTTGCCTTTTTGTCGTTTCTGCCTACGCTCCCACTGACTGCAGCTCAGATGATGTGAAAGATGAATTTTACAGAAAGCTTTCTGAACTTCTTCAGAAAGCTAAACGTTCAGACATAGTACTCGTAGCAGGTGACTTTAATGCCCAGATAGGTAGTTTAAACCAAACGGAAAGGCATTTAGGTGGGTATTTTAGTATTCCGGCACACCGAACAGATAATGGTGATCGTCTGCTGCAACTGTGCTCAGACAATCGTTTATTTTTAGCAAACACAAATTTTAAGCATAAGGAGAGACATCGTCTAAGATGGCGACCCCCTACACCAAACCAACGATGGACTCAAATAGACCATATTGCCATCAGTCATCGTTGGAGAGGGTCGGTTTGGAATGCGCTTCTCTCCCTCTAAATGCAAGTTGTTGCTTCAGGACTGGTCTGCGTCTGCACCTGAACTAAGGATAGGAAGTGAAGTAGTCGAACGCGTTGACAACTTCACTTATCTTGGAAGTCTGATCAGCCCTAATGGGTTGGTGTCTGACGAAATCTCAGCACGGATTCGAAAAGCTCGTTTGGCATTTACCAACTTACGTCACCTATGGCAAAGATGAGATATCCCTCTATCAATTAAGGGACGAGTATACTGCGCGGCATTCCATTCTGTTTCAATTTACGGCAGCGAAACATGGCCATTAGGAGTAGAAGACACTCGTATGTTGCTAGTATTTGATCACAGATGCCTTAGAAATATTGCTGGCGTCTGCTGGTATCACCGGGTAAGTAATAGTGGGGTTAGACGCAGGGTATTAGGAAATAATGGTAAATCCGTTGATGAGGTTGTAAATCTTCAACGACCTAGATGGTTGGCAACGTGTTACGTATGCCTGAACACCGATTACCACGACGTGCAATGCTAACCGGTGTTCGGGATTGTTAGAAGAAAGTTAGGAGCGGCCAAACCAAAACGTGGCATCAGTGCTTGAAGTCACTAACTTGTAGTCTGAGTCATGTTGGTAGATGCAGACTACTTGGTTGGGGTCCGCGTGACTTTCGTAACCGATGGTTGGCGACTCTTGGTGACATGGCTCAGAATCGATCACAATGGCGTCGGTGTATACACTCTCTGTCTTCCCTTAAACTAAGAGATTAAAATCGCTTCATATCTTTCGTTCTACGAACTAATTCTTTCTTCCTGTACTATATCCTTATTGCAATCTTTCTTTTATATATTGCCACCTCTGAATTAACTACTTTTATGAATCCGGTATCCATCTTGTTGTGTTAATGAGGTATGGCAACTTGGACCGGTGCATATATGTGCCTGGTCCTACGTTGTAGTTGACTGACTGATTTTATATCTACACATATTTTAAGTCACTAGTTGTTTACCTCAACTTACCGTGTTTGTTGAACCAGGAATATATAACGGATAAAGCTGTAAAGTGATGAGTTTAAAATTTGGTGCTTATATGTAGGACCAGTGGCTACACAAAGTTCCAGAATCAAGTCAAGGCTGTTGAAAATTACCACTTACTATCCATATACAACTGTTAGGTTTGGTTAACCTTGAATATACTACTGATTCGACTTATTCGGAACGGAACGAAGGCTCAGGATTCAGAGACTCAATAGACTATTCTGGTCCGTTGTCTTCGACTCAGCTAACTCGATCAAGAAGTCTTGGTAAGGCGTAGAAAGTGTATTCTACAGACAAACAGCAGATAACAAGTCAAGTCAAGCACACAAATCAAGCGTATTTATACAAATATTTACAATCGATATTGTCATGGAAGATTTTTGAACATTAATCGACAATTGACTGCTATTTGAACATTTAATCGATAGTTCATCAATTGACCTATTTGTACATTTAATCGATAGTTCATCAATTGACCTATCTGCACATTTAATCGATAAGTAAATTACAAAAATTTGAGTTTTGGGGATCTATCGTCCCCAACACTCCTCCCCTTTTTAATAGCGGGCCTTCCTGGGGTCAACCTGCATCTTGACTGTAGCTCGCCGTTCTCTTACAGGCCACCGTCTGGGACGTGTTTCAGCTTGTTGTTGGGGTTTTTCTTGTGGTAGGGTTGCCGGTAAGTTGAAAGTATCAAGGAAGATGTCAAGGGGAAGATTTTCTCCTTTTGATGGGCGGTCCGAGGCTATCCGCTACGTAGTTGATTTCGGTGTCTAGTCCACGTGTCTCTTCCCACCTTCACCTCGTACATAACTTGGCCTAGTCTTCCGACCACACGTGCTTCGATCCAAGGACCATGATTTGCTCTGTAGTCTCGAGCAAACACCGGGCATCCGACCTCATAGGCTGGAAGCTTCTGAGATTTGGTCTGAGATGGTGGTGGTGTGGTTCTTGGGCACATCAGACTATGGATCGTCCTCAATTTCCTTCCCATCAGGATCTCTGCCGGGGACTTCTGCTGTGGTAGCATATCACTAGGTGTTGTTCGGTAAACAAACAAGAAATTCTGCAGTGTTTCTACTGGCGTCCCCTCCCCTTTCGACTTCATTAGGGCTCTCTTGAATGTATCCACAAATCTTTCTGCCTGGCCATTTGACTGTGGGTGGTAAGGTGGAGAGCGGAAATGCTTGATCGATAGGCGTTTGCAAAATTCTTGAAATTGACTTGAGGTGAATTGCGAACCATTATCGGAAACGATTATATCCGGTAATCCGTTGCGAGAGAACATCTCTGTCAAAAGTTGCATCGTTTGGGTTGTCGTT